CAGTGTTTTCTCTCCGCAGGTACCTGGATAACCAGGTGTTCGTGTCGTTGGCCAACGGGGAGCTCGTCGTGTACCAGCGGGAGGCAGGTGAGGCCGGATTGGGAACGTCAGAAGATGCTGCCCCAAAGTGGTGGCTGGAGGGTGGGTGGCTCGGGTAGCCCCCCGGGGAAGGATACTCGGGGACTGGAGCTACCAAAATTGGAGGTGTGCATCCTCCTCCTCTTGTCCCTGCTTGCCGCTGGCATCCCCTGGGGACACCGGTTTATGTCCCCTACAAGGGAAGACCTGGAGACAGACACCTCCAGCCACTGCATCCCCAGACATCAAGCTGGGGGTGCTTTAACCACCCACCCCCTTCTCCCCCTGCCTTCACAGGCCGCTTCTGGGACCCCCAGAACTCCAAATCCCTGTCTCTGGGCTCTCCGGGGAGCCCCATCGCCAAGATGGTGGCGGTGGCGGGGAAGCTGTGGTGCGGCTGCCAGAACCGCGTCATCGTCCTCAACCCCGCCACGCTGGCGCAGGAGGTACCGCGGGCAGCGCCGGGGTGGGGTTGGGTGGCAGGGGGGGCAGCACCGGCGTCACGGCGGTGCCGCTGTCCCCCCCCCAGCACACGCTCCAGGTGGGCCAGGACGGCGGGCGCGGCGTCACCTGCATGGTGGGCGCCGGCACCGGCGTGTGGGTGGCGCTCCAGGGCAGCGCCCAGGTCCGGCTGTACCACAGCACCAGCTACGAGCAGCTGGCCGAGGCCGACATCACCCCCCCCGTGCACAAGATGCTCGCGGGTGAGTATTCCAGGGCAGTTTGGGTTGGAAAGGGACCATAAAGCTCATCCGGTTCCACCCCCTGCCATGGGCAGGGACACGCTTCCACTATCCCAAGTGGCTTCAATCCTCATCCAACCTTAGACACTTCCAGGGATGGGGCAGCCACAGCTTCCCTAGGCAACCAGCGCCAAGGCCTCCCCACCCTCACAGCCAGGAATTCCTTCCCAATATCCCATCTCTCCCTGCCCTCTGCCAGCGGGAAGCCATTCCCCCTTGTCCTGTCAGCCCAATCTGACAGCACCTCGGGGTGCTTTATACCAGCCATGGGATTTATGGGGTCCCTCCCCACATCCCTGGGAATGGTGGTGCTGGGGGTCACGCCCTGGGCCGGGCGGGATGAGGCGCTGATTCCCGGGATGCTCCGCAGGCTCGGACGCCATTATCCGGCAGCACAAGGCCGCCTGCCTGCGGATCACGGCGCTGCTGGTGTGCAAGGACCTGCTGTGGATCGGGACGAGCGCCGGCGTGGTGCTCACCCTCTCCGTGTCCCCCAAGGCCGCCCCCACGCTGGTGGGGCTCTCCCAGGGCCACACGGGCCACGTCCGCTTCCTCACGGCCATCGAGCTGCCCGACGGCTTCGACGTCCTCTTCCCGCTGCCCAGGGACACGGGTAGGTGGCACGGTGACACATTTCCCAGGGCTGTCCCACCGGTGGATAACCAAGAGGAGCCTTGAAAATGTTGTTGTCGAAGTCCCCGTTCCACCTCTGCCTTGTTAAAATCTGGGGGTGGGAATCGGGTGCTGAACTTCCCTCCGCCAGCACAAGTGACCCCGAATTTCCCAGGGGGACCTAAATTCCCACGGGGAAAAGCCACGGGAAAGCTGTGTCACCCAGCCCAGCTCTGAAGCTGGCATGGGATGGGGAGAAGGAGATGGGATGTCAGAGATTTTGAAGGGAGAGGCAAACATTGGCTGGGGGAGCTAATTTGGGGGTGAGAGGGGCTATTGCAGATGTGAGGAGTTTTTTGGGGCCTGGGAAAGTGCTGGTGGGAGGATGGTTGGTGGAATGATGCTGGTGGAATGATGCTGGTGGGAGGGTGCAGGGATAATGGTGGGAGGATGCTGATGGGATGCTGGAGGGAGGATGCTGGAATCATAGAGTAGTAGAATGGGTTGGAAGGGGGCCTTGAAGGTCACCTAGTTGTTGGAGGGATGATGCTTGGTGGAATGAATGATGCTGGGATGATGCTGGTGGGATGATACTGGGAGGATGCTGGTGGGATGATGCTGGTGGAATGATGCTGGGATGGTGCCGGTGGGATGATACTGGGATGATGACTCTGGGATGATGTTGGTGGTATGATACTGGGATGGAATGACAGTGGAATGATAGTGGTGGGATGCTGCTGCTGGGATGCTGTTGGGGTGCTGCTGGGATGATGTTGGGATGCTGTTGGGATGGTGTTGCTGGGATGCAGCTGCCTCCCTGACGCTGCCGGGGACCGGAGCAGCCGCGTGGGGACACCTGACAGGACCCCGGGGGGTTCTGCACTTGGCAGGGGCCGAGAAGCCGAGCGAGGCAGAGAAACGAGAGCCAGGCCGGCCCCGCGGCCCCGCCCTGGGCCTGGCCAAGCCCAAGATGTTGGTGATCAGCGGCGGCGACGGCTACGAGGATTTCCGCCTGACGAGCAGCAGCGAGACCGTGGGGCGGGACGACAGCACCAACCACCTCCTCCTGTGGAGAGCGTGAACAGCCACGGCCCGGCATCCCCGGGCCGCCCCGCCCGGGAAGGGGGGGCGCTGCCCCCCCTGCGTGCAGAGAGGGGGGTCCCGGCCCCCCCTCCCCAGCGCCCCCCGCCCCAGCACCTCTCATCTCCAACCCGGCTGCTCTCTGTGTGCTCGGGGTTGGGGGGGATGAGCCCCGGTCCCCCCGCCGTCCCCCCGGCCACCGCACGGGACTCGGGGTGTGGGGGGACACTCACCGCTCGGGGGGCATCCAGGACATCGTGTGTGGTGGGGGGAGGGGGTGCGTGTCCTTGGGATCACGGAGCGCTCCCGGGGCCCGGCCGGAGGATGCCAACAGCCCGGGACACGCCTTGCTCTCCGGTTTTGTGTGTGCCTGCTTGACGGGGAGGAGGGGCCTGGCACTGTCACCTCCCCCCGCCTCGGGACCCCCGGCCACGCCGCGGGACCACCCCAGGGACAATGTGGGCGCGGTGTCCCCCCCCCCGGCCCGGGCCTCCCGCTCCCCCGCCTGCTCCATCGCCAGCACCCAGATAGCTCTGTTTGTTTGTTTGTTTGTTTTAAATATATATATATTATATATATAGAAACATCCTTATTTATTTGGGGGCGGTTTCTGGGGGGGTGGCTGGTGCATCCTGACATCGCTGTGGGTCCCTCTGCTCTGGAGCTGAGGGATTCAAACTTCCCGGAGAGCTGGACCCCACTGGTGGAGCTGGATCTTGGGTGTTGGTGGAGGTGGGGGGTAAGGAAATTGGGGCTTTCCCCTCCCTGTTCTCTGTGATTCCCAGTGGGATTTCGCAGCCTGGGCGGTGGGATGAAGGCACTGCTGCATCTCCTGGATGAGGACAAGCATCTTCACATTCCCACCGGGGGTGGCCCCAAACTGGGTGTGGGGACCCTAAAAATGAGACTCTCTGGACCAACCCTCCCCCGTTTGCGCTTTTTTCCTTCCCATTTTCCTGCTTTCACCTCAGGGCCCGGCTGAGACCGGTGCTCCCAGACCGGGACACCCTGTTGTCCCCATGGGAGAGGTGACAGCGGCGGTGGCAGGGATGAACCAGGTGGGTGAGTGACGGGAATGCTGCCGTCCCACATGGAGCCATCGCGGGGAGGGGCGGGGGGGATGTGGGTGTGCTATAAATTGGGATGATAAGGATATTTTGGGAAGGTTGGGGCGGGATTTCAGTCACGTGGAGGCTCTTTGTCATTAAAGGTCACCCGTGTCAGAGTGAACCCGGCGTGGTCTCGTCCTTCCCTCGGGGTGGGGTGACAGGAACAGGGTGAGGAGCTCCCACCACCCGCTGGCATCACTGGGAATGCCACCCACCGGTGCCACGTGGGATGAAGAAACCCTTCCCACTACTGGGGTGCAGCTGTTCCGTCCTGGATAATCCCAAGGGGGATGTTGGGGGAGGAGATCCCTCCCTTGTGCCACAGAGCACTGGGATATATCCCATTCCCAGGACAAGCAGGTCCTGGGGAGCACTGGGAGATGGAGGGATCGCCAGGCCCAGCTGCAACTGGGGTGTCCCCAGTGTGGGAAAACTGTTCCCTAGGGCAGAGGGCGAGATTCCATGTGCTATAGGACATGTAGGAAAGCTGGGTGCAGCACCTATGGATTGCTTTCACCCCTCAATTTTCCCTCTTCCCCGCCCCCCCATTTCCCCGCTTTTTCCCCCTATTTTCCTGCTTTCATCCCAAGATCCAGGCAAGACCAGTGCTCCCAGAGCGGGGCACCCTCTTGTCCCCATGGGAGAGGTGACAACCACGGGGATGAACCTGGGTGTCCCCAACCCTATATGGGGACGAAAAAGAAAATCCTTTTTTTTTTTTTTTTTTTTAATTCCTTCTGGGAAGGCAAAAATCACCCCGTTCTGATTCCTCGCGTTTTCCCCCCCCCCAGAACCCCAACGAGGGCGGGATAAAGGCCCAACATTCCCAAATTCCCGCAGTTCCCGGGAGGCGGCGCTGCTGCGGCGCTGGGATAGGGGCGGGGCGAGTCCGTGACGTCACGGAAAGGGGCGTGCCCTGTTGTAATTAGCGCGCCCTCGGTTCATTCATAAGGAGGAGGCGCGACCGACGGGGCGGCCCCGGGGGGAGCCCGGGGGGCTCCGTGGCGGGGTAGGTAAGGGGGTCCCCCGACTCCGGGACCCCCCTCTACCCGGGGGGGGTCTCATCCCGACACGGGGGGCTCGGAGTCCTTCGCCTTGGAAGGGTTAATTCCCCCGTGGAGCGCTCCGGGATTGCGGTTGCTGCAGCTTCGCGTTGTGCGACGGAGCGAGGGGTGATGTTTTTTGGGGTGCTGGAACCCCCGATTTGCGGTAAAAAAAGGGTGAGGGGGTGCTGCCTTGGGTCTGTCGCTAAGCGGGGCATGGGGAGAGCTTGGAATTAGGGGCGGTGGGGACCCCCCGGCGGGGCCGGGAGGCTCCGGCTGCGGCAGCGCCGAAGTAGGTTAAAATAAAGGGTGGAGAGGGGGAAAAGTAGGTTAAGGAAAACTCGGCAGCGGCTGCCTGGGAGAAGGGATAAGGATCGCGAATCGTGACGGGTCTTTTTTGCTGCCGGGAGCTGGAAAATCCCAGGGCTCGAAGCCAAAAAGCCCGGCGGGAGCCGGGATGATGCGGTGAGGGGCTGCCCCCCAAAACTGCGCTGGGATGAGGGGCTGCCCCCCAAAAATCGGGGTGGAACGTGCCGCTGCCCGGGTTTGGCGGGATCCCAGCGCTGCCTCTGGGATCGCTGGGTTTTAATGCTGGATATTTGTGGCGGTCCCGCTGTTCCCACAGCTCCGAGGGGGCCCCGGGGGAGGCGATAGCGCCGAGTTTCGCTCCATCTGCCGGACAATCCCCTCCTTGTCCCGCGCTGCCTCCAAGAGCTGCTCCCCGAAGTTTTCCCGAACAGTTGCTCCCTTTTAGCTCCGTTTATCTGCAGGAGCCATCGGCTGAAACCCCGTTCCCCTACAGGGAGGGAAACCCAGGAATCCCAGTGGGCAGCCTTGGATTACAGGCTCTATTAAAGCAGGAATGGGAATAAAAGGCTTCTGTGATCCCGAGGGATTTTGGGGGAAGGGTTCCAAAACCAAGTCACCTTTCCTGCTGCGTTTGCATCGATGCACCAGCCAGGTGGGGGGTGGAGGTGCTGGAGGTCCCCAAAAAACAGATCTGGGGTTATTTTTTGGTTTCCCGTGGTTCTTGAGGGACAAATCATGTCGGTCTTAGCAGTTTCAGGGCTTCTCTCTGCTGTGCCAGGGCATCCCGTGCTGGGCATCCCATGATCCTGCATTCCAACTCCCCACCTGGGGTGGTCCCTGAGGTCCCCCAAAACCGGGTGATGAGTCCTGGGGTGGCCGTGACTCGGCAAAGCTCCAGTGCCAACCAGGAGCTGGCACTCTTTGATCCCTGTGCCTCCTGCATCCCTGTTAGCCACCTCAGGGATGTCCTTAACCCCTGGATTAAACCCGGCCTCAGATCTGCTTTACCTGGGGCCAGCCCTCTTCCTGGGGGGGGGGGTTAATCCGTTTGTGGGGATCTGGAATTCCCTGGGGAGCCGGGATGCTCCAGCAGCCTGGGAGGTGCCAGCCTGTGGCATCATTCCCGAGGTGCTTGAATCCCACAACCCCAAAGGATTAAAATGCTTCACGTTAGGCTTGAACCCGAGTTTTACAAGTGCTGGCTCACAGTTTTCCTCCCTCTGTGCTCGAGGGGCACATCCCAGATCCCGGGGGGAGGGGATTCCAGAGGTGGGCTGGTTGGCTCCATGCTGGCACCTGATGGGATGCTCCTTTACTGGGAGGAACTGGCGCACAGAGGATTCTCATTGTGGGTTGTCCCAACCCACATCCCATAAATACCTGGCTCAGCCCCCACCCCCAACATCCCCTCTCATGTTTAATGAGCTGCATCTCAGGCCACTAATTAGTACAAACTCGTCAGGCAGAGGCTGTTCCGAGGCTCCCACGGGACCGTGACGACCGGGGGAGTTTCCATGCGGGCGGCAGGATTTCCATGCTGAGCCTGGATCCGGCTTTGGGTTGTTGTTTGTTTTTTTCCTTCCTTCCTTCCTTCCTTCCCCCTGTCCTCCGTGCTCTCAGCTGAGGTTTTAATTTTATATTTTCCTGTGGGAAACACCTTTCGTTTCGCTCCAGTTTGTGTCTAAATATGTGTTTATTTCCTTTTTAGTGACTTCATTTCCTTGTGGCAGGTGCACAAGGATTTCCTCTGGAGCAGGGAGAACCTTCCTTTAACTTTATTTAGCGTCACCTGCTCCTTGCATGGGTGGTGTGACTCCATTGCAGGGGTTGGTGCCTCTCCAGTCTGGGATGGAGTTGGGATGTGATGATGCCATGCACCCCATAAATCCTCTAATAAAGCTTTTTGGGGGATGGTGCAGGGATATTTAGGCAGATACCTTGGAGCATCCCAGTGGGGGGAAATAGGGCCCCCAAGTTGCTTCTCCACCGGGATTTTCCCTGGATGATGACCCCGGTGCTCCCCCTTGGGCAGGCGTCCCCTGGTGATGAAGAGGAACGGGATGCGCTGGTGGCTCGTCACCGTCCTGGGGGTGAGTATGGCCTGGTCCATCCATTCCCAGCCCATCCATTCCCAGCCCATCCCTCTGCTTCTCTGCCTTTGGCACCTCTGACACTCAAACACCACTCCACAGCCGTAGCAGGGTATCCCAAAACACCTCCCACCTGGAAACTTGCAGCACTTGGGGAGATGCTCAGTTTGGATTGAGGATTCCCCCTCCCTCCCCTTTTTTCCCCCTCCTTTTCTCTCCTTCATAAAATCTTCTTCCAGGGCAGGGGCTGATGAGGAATGTGGCATCTCTGGGGCCACATTTGGCATCTGGGATGGGTTTGTGACCATCATGTCACTGATGATGGTTTACCCTCATCGTGCCCTCACCGGTGAAGGGTTTGCATCTGCCGTGGTCCAGGTGACAGTTTTGCCTCCACCACGTGGCCTGTGACGGGTTCATCTCCGCCCCACCACCCCCATCCCACCCCCCTGGAGCTACATTCCCACTGGCACAGGCCTTGGAGCAGCGGCAGAGCCGGAGCAGCCGGCGCTGAGCCCTTTGATTCTCCCGCAGGTGCTGAGCAGACTCGTGGGGGCCGAGAGCTGGAATTCCCGGGAGCACAGGACACCGGGATGCCCTCCCGGGGAGGAGCCCGGCGGGGTAAGCCGAGCCCAGAGGGATAAGCCGCGCCCCCTGCGGCACATCCACATGGATCATGATCCAGCCACGGCTCAACACCCCCTCTCCCTCACCGCAGGATCCAGGGGGGACGTGCCGAGCTTGTCCCCCCGGCACCTTCTCCCTGGGGGACGCTCCCTGTGCCGCTCACACGCAGTGCCGGGCCGGGAACAGGATCCTGGTGGCCCCGGGGACAGCGGGAAGTGACAGCCGGTGCGGAGCCTGCCTGCCGGGGTGAGCCCGGGCGGGGGGGACACCGGGAACCCCCGACCCCGCTCCCGGCCGGATCCTGACCCTCCTGCCCTCCCGCCCCCGCAGGTTTCACAGCCCCGAAGGGGAGAGGGACCCCCGGGGCCGGTGCCTGCCCTGCGCCGCTGCCCCCCGCAGCACCCCGGGGTGCCCAGGTGGGTGCTGGAGCTGCAGGTGCCACCCCGGGGTTAGGGGGGGGACACGGCAGAGCTTGTGCTCGCCCCTGGGAGGAGCAGTGGTGTCCTGCCGGGATGTGGCAGCTGGGAACGGCCCCACTCGTGACACCAACGGCTCCTGCTTCCCCGGGGTCCAACTGCAGCAGGGCTCCTGGGAAAACGGGATGGAATCCCAGGAAAGCCCCTCTCCCCGAGGCTGATCAGTGCCTCCCCATTCCCCCCATCCTCCAGGCCGGCGGCGGGTCCGCAGCCCCGAAACGCCGGGACGAGCACTGGGAACCAACGGGACACGGGTGACCCCGAGGGGGGAGGAAGAGGAGGAGGCGGCGGCGGCGGCGCAGGCGGCCGTGCTGACCATCGTCCCGGTCTTCTGTGCCATGGGGTTGCTGGGAATCCTGGTGTGCAACCTGCTGAAGAAGAAGGGGTACCACTGCACCGCCAGCAAGGAGCCGCAGCCCGGCGGCACCGGTGAGCGGCCCTCCCACATCCATCTCACCTCAGCCCATCCCTACGCCTCCCGATCCTCGTTGTCCCAGCGCACCCCGCTTGTTTCATCCTGCTGTTTTTGGGGTGGTTTATCCCCCATCGCTGAGTTGTCCCCCTCCCCCCCCCCTCCCCCCCAAATTCTGCCCGCAGGTCCCAGCTCCATCTACCCGCTGGAGGATGCCAACGAGGACACCATCGGGGTGCTGGTGCGGCTCATCACTGAGAAGAAAGGTCGGGGGGTTCCCTGGAGTGGGGGAAAAGGGGGTGACGTGTGCCAGACCCCCTGACCCCCAACTCCCTGGTGTCTCCCACGCCCAGAAAACGCGGCGGCGCTGGAGGAGCTGCTGAAGGAGCATCGCAGGCAGCAGCTGATGCCGCCGAGCTGGGCCCCCCTGCACAAGTAAGACCCCCCTTCCCCCTCAGGGCTGCAGTGAGGACCCCGCCGTGGTGGGACCAGCCCCGTGGTGACGGTGGCATCTCCTTCTCCCTGTCCCCAGGCTGCACCTCCTGCCGCAGTTCCCCCCCTCCTGTCACCACCAGCAGCACCCGCACACGGTGCAGGGCCCGGCCCCCTGCGCCCGCTGCACCCAGAAGTGGCCGGCGGTGCTGCCACCCCCCGGTGCCGCCAGGGTCCCCAAGCCCAGCGAGGTGACCATCCTCTCCATCGGCAGGTGAGCAGGGACGCCCCCCCAGCAGGGCTGTGTCCCCTCCCCAGGATGGGACAGGCTGATGTGATGCTCCCCCATCGCCCTCCCCGGCAGGTTCCGCGTGTCCCGCATCCCGGAGCTCCGGAGCGAGGCGGGGGCTGAGCCCCTCCGGGGACCCCTCCCCGGCAGCGGGATGAGACCCCCGTGGCTGAAAGGCACCGATGGCCCCCCGGAGGTGAGGGAAGCGTGTGGAGGGAGTGTCGGGGGGAGCTCTTGGAGGGGAAAACCCGGGGTTTCTGGAGGCTGGAGAGGGGTGCATATACTCTGAAGCCTCCCGGGGGTATCTGGTGAGGGGTGAGGCTGGAGCAGCCCCATCGCCCCCAGGCCTCTTCCAGCAGCTGGGAGGCTTAAAAAAAGGCTTTAAAAATTGAACACCCCTTTATTTTCACCCTCCATTTGTTTGGGGTGTGTCGGGGGGGCTGTGGGTTGGGTGCTGATGCCCAGGGGTGCTGCAGGGACACAGGGCTGGTGGCCCCTGGGGTGTCCTGCAGCAGCCAGGGACTCCAATACACCCCCGTGCCCCCCTTAAAACACCCCTGTCCCCCCTTCCTGCTCTGTACCCCCCTAAAAGCAGGTATGGAACAGCACATTAGCATATATTTGCATGAGTGGTCGTGCCCTGTGTGCGGGCAGAAGGCTCTGCAGGGGGGCATGGCCACTTCTGTACGTGCAGGGACCCCTCCATCCCCCCCCCTCAGCCCTGGGCACACCGAGGCAGGAGCCAGGGGGTGTCCCACACCGCGGGGTGACGCGGGGTGACACGGGGTGGCACGGCCAGGGGGCTGCTGGTGACTCATGGGCAGCTGCTCGGGCTCACGTGTCCCTGAATGTGTCCCCCCCAGCCCTGTCCTCCCTCCCTGCTGCCCGTGCTGGTGGCCACGTGTGCCTGGCATGGAGTGGGGGTGGGACACAGTCCCCTGGAGCACTCCAGGACTGGGACAGAGCGGCTGGAAAGCTGGGAAAGGCCCTGGGGGTGCTGGTGGACACGAGCCCAGGTGGCCAAGAGGCCAATGGCACCGGTGTGACCCACGGTGGGGCAGCAGGGCTGGGGCAGTGCCTGTCCCTGTGCTGGCACTGCTGAGGCACCTCCAGCCCTGGGGGCAGTTCTGGGACCCTCATGACAAGGGTGGAGTGTGCCCAGAGAAGGGAACGGAGCTGGGAAGGGGCTGGAGCAGCAGGAGCAGCTGAGGGAGGCTGGGGGGGCTCAACCTGGAGAAAAGGAGGCTCAGGGGGGACTTTCTGGCTCTGCAACTCCCTGACAGGAGGGGGGAGCTTGGGGGGGGTGGTTCGGGCTCTGCTCCCAGCGAACAAGGGACAGGAAGAGAGGGAACGACCTCCAGTTGTGCCAGGGGGAGGGGCAGGTTGGACATCAGCAGGAATTTCTTGCATGGAAAGGGTGGTCAGGCATTGGCAGGAGCTGCCCAGGGAGGTTTGGAGTCCCCACCCCTGGAGGTGTCCAAGGCAGGCCTGGCCGTGGCTCTCAGTGCTCTGGGCTGGGGGACAAGGTGGGCATCGGGCACAGGGGGGGACTTGGTGATCCCAGAAGGCTTTTCCAACCCTGGTGATCCTGGGATTCTGTGTGCTCACACTCACACATGGGCACCTGGAGCTCTGTGCGTGTGCACCCCTCACCCCTGGTCCATCCCTCCTCCTCCACAGGTGGCACCTGGCCCGGGGGTGGCCTCGGGGGGACAGTGACACCCACACGGACCCCCCTGGAGGACACGGGGCGTTGTGTGAAGCCAGTCCCGCTCAGAGCCACGAGGAGCTGGAAGTGCAGCTCAGCCTCTGCTCCTGCCACCGAGGTGTCTGCTGGCAGCACAGCAAATCCAAGGCCCTGCCCAGGTGGTGGGAAGGATTCCCTGTGCCGTGGTCCGGCCTGGTGGCCCGATGGACACGATCTCTGGGAACCACACCATGGCACAGCTCCGTTGGGAGCCACTGGAATGTCATCCACGGTCACCTCCCGGGGTCTGCTGAACTGAAGCCCCTCCAGGACCACCACGAGCTCCTGATTTCCCCTCCCATCACCAGCTGCCAGGATAACGACAGGAGAACTCCCACCTCACCAACAACCCCCACTGGGGATGGATTGCTCCGGGCAAAGCCTGTCTCCTGCATCCATCCACCCTGTATCCAATATCTCCATGAGCCCAGGAGAACACGGTGGGGACACTCCCCGTGAAGGCCACACACTTCACTTCCCACAGGAGATGTTTCTATAGGATCACGTCGGGATCATCGGGACAACCCACCCAAGGCTGGGTTGGGAACCATCCAGCCCCACCATCGACCCAGCAATGGGTTCATGGCCCGTCCCATTCACCCCTCCCCCCTCCACATCCCTGTGCCAAAAAAAAACCATCACACCCCGACCACCAAACCCCGTCGGGCTTCTTTTATTTATTTATTTAATTTTTTATTATTATTATTATTATTGACTTTTTTTTTTTTTTTTTTTGGAAACACTTCCGTAAGTTCTCGAACGTTCTACGTCTGACAGGAAAAGATCGGACAGTTACAAACTCTCGGCTGGGATCTGTCAGGGAGATCACGAAACCTGATCTTCAGAACCGAAACCAGAACAGAAAACAAACGGGGAAAACAACCCCAAATTCCAGATGGACAAACTGAGGCTTGGGAGGGTGGTGTAGGGGTGGGGGGGCCTCTCCAGGGCAGCAGGTCCAGGCCATGGTTCCCTCCACACCTTGGAGACTTGGAAGACGTGGTTACTCTTGGGTTTGAATTATTTTCTCTTCTGGTATTTTTTTGGGGGGGATTTTTTTTTTTTTTTATTTATTTATTTTTGTTTAAAAGGGCCCAAGGATATTTCCAACCGAGCTGGTCTGGAGGTCATTCAATCAATGAATTAAAATTAATTACAAAATTAATGACATAAAAAGAGGGGGAGGAGCCTGCGTGGGTTTGCTCCATGCTCTGGGAATGGGAGGGTTTGGATGTGATCCCGGATCCCACTGCCTCATTATCCCTTCCTTGCCGTGCTTCCCGAAGGATCCCCACCCTACAAAATCCCTTCCCTTATCCCAAACCCCCCAGGAAAACTCCCCAGCTCCGTCCCTTGCAGGAGGACACAGGGAGGCTGCAGGTGGCCTTGTTACATCAAGATTATTCCCTCCAAACAGCCCAACCCAGCGTTTCCAAACGGGAATCGCTGCCCTTCAACCACAGATTTTCCTATCCCTGCTTTGCCAACATTCCCACGAATTACTGGAGAATCTACGAGTGCAACGCGCCACAAAAACGCCTTTTCCAAGCTCCGTAAAAGGCTTTATTTTCCATTTTTTTTTTCCCTTGTGGAAATGCCAGCACACGGCAGAGAATATTTGGAAGCTGCTCCTGCCTCAGGAGCTCCTGGCAAAGCCAAGGGAAGATGGGCAGAGGGTCACCACGATTTGGGAATGACAGTTGGAGGGCCTGAAAATATTGGCAATTAAAAAGTAAGCCCAAACTTCCCCCCCACCAAAAAAAAAACACCCTGGATTTATGGATATCCAGCGGCTCTTATTGCTCTTGTTGGCTGGTTGGATTTTCCTATCAAAAATAAAGCCCCAAACGTGGGTTTTCCACCCCCCCTTAAAAAAAAGCAAGATCCGATTTCACGCCCTCCAGCTGGGAACCACGTCATCCCAAATTCCCGGGGGGAATGCAGGGGATGGCAAATGGGGTGGGAAGAGGGCTCTGGAAAGGACCAAATTCCGCTGGCTGTGGGAAAACCTTATCCTCTGAACATCCAGCATTAAAACAAACCCCTTCCTTTTTAACACTGCAAGGTAATTCCATCCTGGAACTGCAAAAAACGGGTTATTTATTATCCATAAAATCCAGGAGCAAATCCTTGCCTGGAGGGCTCAGCCACGTGGAGGCATGAGAGGTCCAGGCTCCAAGGGGGGAGGTACCACCAGGACTAATATACCTATTTTTCCCCCCCAAATTTCACACTGGAGCTGGTGTTTTGAAGTCAAGAGAAAGGCAGGGATGGGTTAATGGTGGGAACAGTGGGTTGGGAGTTCTTTTCCCTCCTCTTTAGCTGGAATTTTCATCTCAGACACTTCCCTGGATGGTTTAACCCCTCCTGCTCTTCCCCACTAATCTGGGGCGATGGAAAACCCTCTTCCATAAGCAACACCAGCAAAGCTGAAATCTTTGGGAAGCTGGTGGCCCCCAGCACTGTCCCCACACAAGGGAGGCCGTGACCTCCCCAGGAAATTCCCTCAAATATTTCCCCTCTCTTAATCGGGATTCCTGCCTGGGAATAACAGGGTGAGGAGCGTTGGAGCTGCTCTTGGGTCTGCTCAGAGGGATGCAATTCCATTAAAAACCAGCTGAACCAACCAAACAACAAAACCCCCCCCCTCAGAAGTGCTGCTGCCAACGCCCAACCTGACAGAGCAAACAGTGGCTGGAAAAGTCCTCCTGGATCCCTAAGCTCGTTCCTGCCCCATCTGGTCCGTGCTCAAGGAGCTCCAGGAGCTCCTCCCAGTGGCAGCAGAAGCCAAGCTGGGTGACACCACCGAAAGCAACAACATCAGGTCACCTTCTCTTCCAAAAAACCCTCCAGCCTGACCTCTGCACCACCATGGAGGGTCCAGGTGACCCTCCAGAGCCCTCGGGTCCATCAGGAGACGTGATCCAGGCACGACCAAAGTGGAGCACCCAGCTCTGACTCAACACCACACACGGGTTGGAAACCCAGGACAGGCAGTGCCCTGAGGGATTCCCACCTCCAGCTCCAAACCTGACCTCTCCAGAGGCTCTGGATTTGACAGCCTCGGAGCCCAAGGGGCGGCACAGCTGCCAACAGGGAACACTTTTGGCACGTTGAGGGAAAAACCAGAACCCAACCAAGTGTTCACCCTGGGAAAGAGAAATAAATAAGCAAACCCTCGTTTCTAAGCTGGGTTTAGTGAGAAGGGTTTAAAAATAAACTGGCCACAAGTTGTCTGCAAACACAAACTCCCTCAACTTATTGCTCTACTGGGACACCCCGAGGTGAGACACCTTCGTGTCCCCGTGTCCCTGGCTGAGCCAAAACCCCCCGAAACCCCCCCTGGTGCCCACAGCCTGTGTGTGACCACCGTCCCCCCACCCTGCCCCATGTCACCTGGGGATGCCTTCCCTGCTCCCACCTGTGCTTCCCGGGAGGAAGGCGACGTGTTTATTGCTATTGCTTCCTCTCCTCCCACATCTCCCCCCTTCTCCGGCAGAGCAGCCGGAATTCCCACCCCTTCCGGCCCTTCTCCACGGTGCTGGTGTTTGTGCCTGGATGGACATTTCTCCCGGAAGTCTCAGAGCCCAAGGAATGGGAGGGGGCACCTCAATCCCTCAAGTTTGGTCTCAGCCCTGCCAGTGACACAGGTGAAGGGTGAAGCCACAGACCTTCCCCTCGCCCTGCCTTGAAGACTCGTCTCCATCAACCAGACGCCCTCTTTTCCTACACCACCACGCTCTGGAGAAGCTCTTCAGACCAACCCTTGGATCTGGAGCTCTTCAGACTAAACCCTGAAGTCAGAGAAGCTCTTCAGAGCAACCCCCAACTCAGAGCTCTCCATCTCAACCTTGGATTTGGGAAAGCTCTTCAGACCATATCCTGAGCTCCTCAGACCAACCTTGCATCTGCAGAAGCTCTTCAGGCCAACCCTTGGCCGTCTCCTCGCCTCTTTCCCCACCTCTCCCCTTCTCCCTCCCTCAGCCCCAGGACGCGGCTGATGGGGAGCACCTCGTTTTCCCGAGCTGCTCCCTTCCCATCAGCCACCATCCATATTCCCAGCTGGAAGAGCAGCCCAAGGCCCCCTGAGGGTGACCAGTCCTCGCCCTCCCTACGACAAGCGCTCCCCCACATTTACATCCTCTTACTCCTACAAAAAGAAGGGATGGGCTCAGAACTCCACTGCGGATTTCGAACCTACCACGACAGCTATTCTGGAAGACACCAATTTGCTCGGAATACGTGATGGAAGATTGAATCACTGATCATCTCCAACTACAAAAAAAAAAAAAAACAAACCAAGGGAACAAACCTGCCTGTTTAGGAAAACCAGCGCTGTGCTTTTCACAGTCCCCTGAACATCAACCATGCTGCAAAAATCTCGGCTTGGGCGACGACGACGACGACGACGACGACAGAAGGAGAACCCAAAAGAACAAGAAGTGGGGGTGTTGGTGGGGGGGGAGGGAATCTCTGCACCACTCAGCTGGCAAAGTGAAGATTCTGAGCTTTCCAAGGACCAAAGAGAAGAACTTTTTTTACTATTGCTCGGTGTCAGTCATGTGTGTTACACGATTTCATGTGGGAGGGGGGGTGGGGTGGGGGGGAAAATAAAAGAGAGGCAGAAGATTAGAAAAAGCAGCTTTTACAAAAACCACTAAAGGATGCATAAAGTGACCCTTGCACTTGGTTTGTTGAGTTTTGTTCTTGCAAACAGACGAGGCGCTGCGGCCCAGGGGCCGTGGCACCGATGTAAGACTTGTGGAGTTGCATACAATGTTTGATTCTGGATCTGGGAAAGAGAAAAAAAATACCCAAGAACGAGGAGTTAGAAGCAAGGTGGGGAAGATCAGGGCCGTTCTCTGCACTCCTGCACCACGTAGAGCTGATCCATATGGAATTTAACCATCCCTGAGGACAACTCCTTGAGCTCAGTGGTGGGATCCAACCCCAAGGATATGAAGATGGGATGCTCCCTGCTAATTGCCCACCAATTTGCCCTGGGCAGGATTAGCCCAGTGGAATGTGTCCAACAAGCAGAGGTTTGGGATAAGCCCAGGGCTGGGTGGGATCTCTGCTGCCTCCCAGTGTTCCCATCAACCGTGTTAACTGGACACCATGGACCAAGAACAAGCAGCTGGGATTTCTGAGATCCTGGGCACCACAGGGATGTGCAGCAACCCTGGGATTTCTGGGATCCTGGGCAAGACAGGGACGTGCAACAACCCCAGTACTCATGGACAGGACGATCTTTCCAGCAGGGAAAAAAACCATATCCCAGTGATGGGAGGGACTCTTGATGAGGGAATTTGGGGATAGGACAAGGAGGAATGGGTTTAAACTGCCAGAGGGCAGGGATAGATGGGATATAGGGAAGGAACTCCTCCCTGTGAGGGTGGGCAGGCCCTGGCACAGGTTGCCCAGAGAAGCTGTGGCTGCCCCTGGATCCCTGGAAGTGTCCAAGGCCAGGCTGGCTGAGGTTGGGAGGTTGGTTAATGCCCAGGGGTGGAGCAGAGGGGTCACTCACATGGATTGGCCAGTGGATTACCAGTGTGGAGGTACGTAGCTGTAGGTGGGGGTTCCTTGAGCCCTGTACGTTGGCACGGACACGGGATGTGCTCCGATGGCGGTGTGTTGGGGGGTGGTCAACAAGGTTCCTGCAAGAGAAACACAGATCAAGGAGAGCTCCCTCGGGAAGTGGTGCCTGTTCCAGGGGTAGGAACAGCACTAGTTGCCTCCTTTTAGCTTTTCCATCATCCCAAATATCCTTCTGCTTGTGAGACCTAGCTGGAAGGTGTTGGACTTGTTGGACTTGGGATCAACCAGCACCATGAGTGGAATAAACACACCTGAAGCTCCAGTGTGTTTTCCACGGTACTTCTGGTCATCACCTCATCTTGTTAAGGGTTTTCCTTGTTTGTTTGTTTGTTTTTTTTTCCCAACTTTCCTTGTCCCTAAAGACAAGTCCAGCTGACCTGCTGAAGGCACCAGGCTAAACTGCAGCAGGAGATCTGAACCATCCAAGGACCAAACTGGAATGGATGAGGGATGCAAAGGGAGGTGAGAAAAAAAAAAAACCAAGAGCTCTTCCAGGGAAAATTAGGATGAGCTTTGCCACTCATCTCCCAGGAGTTCTTTTGCTTCCTTTAAAGCCACAGAGCCTCG